GTTTACCTGAACCCTATCTGGATAAAATATTTAATTTTCTGCAAACAGATCAATTAGTGCTCGGTAAAAGTTTGCATTTTGAAGGAAGGAACTATTTCTTGTCATTTAATATTGGTCATTTAATAAATCAAATTTCACCATAAAACTGAGGAATTCATTAATGAATTCATAAGACCTAATGAATTCATTTTATAGGGTTGCCGATTTTATTAAGTAAGTTTCCTTGTACTACAACATTTAATTGTATATCTGTATTAACAACTTTCTGCGCTTTTTTTTTATTTTTTTATTAATTTTTCAACAATAAGTTGAAGCTTTAAATGTAAGTTAAACAAAATGGTAAATTTTTATGCAGCTGGATTTTTTATATTACAATTTACTAATGTAAAGAGCAAAATAAAGGTAGTATCGTATGGGACTTTTTTAATTGTTAACTTTGAAAGCAGTTTTACATACTTTTTACTTATGGATTTATAAAAACAAATAAAGATTTTTTTTTGCATGATTTCATAAAATTTTACCTTTAATAAATATAAAGCAATCTCGAAATATCAATAGTTAAAAAACCAATTTTTTTTTATTTGACTTCTTAGTTAATTGTTAACTTAAAAAACTTTCCTTATTCTCCCCATCTCGTTTTTAGCTGGATTTAACAGTCGTACTGTTATGTTATTAGCAAAATTTTCTTTGTGATCTTTTAATATGAAAATACATTGAGAAGATCTGTTTATCATGATAAACATCATGTTTTTGTAAAAGATGCTTCCCTTCTTAATTTATTTTATCTTATAAATTTAGATCAGCTTTTTTGTAGGTAGCGGTGATAACATATTTTGAAAGGTGAGTATGCAGCCTTGGAGCAGTGGTTAGAGCTAACCACTGCTCCAAGGTTGCAAATCCAGGTTCGAAACGAGCTCTGTACATATTTTCGCGTCACGGTAAGGAAGAAGGCGTGAACTTCCTAGATAAAAACACTTCCGCTGTGCTCTGTGACAAGACCGTTAGGTCTTCTTGGGGCACCTAAAAATATTAAAAAAAAAAGTATATTTTTCTTAGGATAACCTATTCACGATAATTTTTCGGATTTTAAGTTCTTATGATCAGAATGATAACTTTGTTTTTATGCTATTTTCACCTAATTATGGTTAAAATTTATTATAAAATAACTAAGTTTTAAAACCTAATTTTAATTGGTAATCTTTTTGTTGCGTAACTGAATGTCGCGTCACAAAACTGTTAGTTTTTTTAAAAAAAATAATACGGCATGAAAACTTTGTTGTTTGTGGATTTTTATATGATTTCCTAATTGCTAAAATGTCAGTAATTTCATTTAGAATACCTTGTACTCTTAGCTCATTAATAAACTTAGTATCATTTGCAATATAGCTTACAGACACAAATTTAACTTATCAGGCATGTTATTGATATAAATTATAAAGAGTATTATGCCCAAAACAGAGCCTTGTGGGACACTGCTAGCTACATAAGCTTTTCAGAGCTATGTTCTCCCAATACTACTCTTTGTTTTCTATTAGTAAGAAAGTCTATAATCCAATCAAGAAGGTCTTCAACAGTACCATAAGCTTTCAGCTTAAGGATTAATAAGGTGTGAGCAATTGTGTTAAATGCTTTTGAAATGTCCAGATATACCTTATCTACTACATTTTTGTTAGCTAAGCATTTTGTAACACAACCACTGGATTGTAATACGTAAGTAACACATGCTTTGTTCTTTACAAAACCATGTTGAGATTTAGACAATAAATTAAGGTTTAAAAGAAAATTTAGGTTCTGATTGTTCCATTAACTTACATCGAATAGATGTTAGTGAAACTGGTCTATAATTACTTGGTTCACTAGGATTACGTTTTTTTAACAATGGAGTAACATTTGCATTATGCCATACTTGAGGAATTGATCTTTATGATAGAGATTTGTTAAATAAAGTTGTGAAAGGTTTTGCTAATACATTAGCACATTGTTTTAATATCAGTGGATAGACATAGTCTGGTCCAGTTGTTTTATTTGGGTTCAAATTTTTTTATTTACTTTTGATGTCATCTGTTGAAAGCTGAAGACTATGTAAACGCTTATTTGTACAATATGGAAGTAGTGGAAAATCTTTATTAACTAAATAATTATTGAAGACTGATTTGAATTGATCATTTAATGTGTCAGCAACAAATCTGATATCTGTACCGATAACTCCGAATTTATTACGAACTGATTTGATGCTTTGTTTTATTTTGCGTGAACTATTAGCATAACTAAAACGTTTGAGAACTTTTGTTTCGAAAGTTAAACTATGTTCAAACTTTTCATTTATTTATATTTTTTTCATTTTAATAAAGATTTGACTTTTTGAATTGTTTGACTAGCTCTGGTATTTTCCACTTGAAAGATTGATTTTTACACCATAATCTATTTTTTTATATTATGAGCATCAAAAGTGTATGATTGAGCCAAAGAGGTTTCTTTTTGTTATTGCATATCAATTTTGTGCAAAAATATTTGTTATATAGTTATAATGATTCAAGAATAAGTTGTAACTGTCATTTATATTTAAGTTACTAAACTCTTTTGACCATTCAACATTTTGAAATCATACAATTGAAATTACTCTTCTCGATAATCGCGCTTGAATATTAAGTAGTTGAATTTATTTTTATTACACGGTAAAGTATAATTAAATTTTACTATTTAATGTCCTTGACAAATAATTACTCAGTTATGACAATACCCAGTATATTCTTAGAGATTTTATTTGCTTGGATGAATGTTGGAAATGTTACATTTTGAATGATGGGTATATTGTTAAAACGATCATTAAATCTAGCACCAATGCTGTTTATATTACTATGTGCTTGTTATAACATAATTTTTCGTCATTATAAATAGCATTTGATTTTGACGGTGGATGATAAATAGATCCAAGCTTGATTGTTTCAACTCCATACTTTACATGGCACCAAATTTATTCAGATTTTATAATATTCATTGTTAAGTTCTTAATTTCAAATAATTATATAGTCTTAAACTTTCATTACTACACGACCACCGTTAATTTTGTTTGAAAAACTGTCGTTTCTGTTAAATTTGTGTAAATAATAATTTTAAATATTTATTATAGAATCTTTTTTGAATTAAGTTTTGGTGATTAATATAATATGAGGTTTGTGTGTTGACGCTAATACTGACAACTTCATTACTTTATCTGAATTTAATGAAGTAGCATTTGTATATAGGCACCTTAACTCACTTTTATATGCTTTATCAAGCGCTACTTGGTTTGTATGAGGTTTATTGTTTTTATTACTTTTAAAGAATGTCTTTTTGATCATAATATTACTTTTTGAACTTAATATTATTCTGCCACAACTATTATTGAGATGGGTGGTACTCAATTTGCCTAAGTTCTCCATTTCTAATTCCGTATTAAAATTTTTATTTCCATTTTTCTCTCCAAGGCTAAGCCTCTTTTCAGAACCATTTACTACATTAGGAAGTTCTTCATTTATTTCATTCTTTCTTCTCTTAACGTACGTTCAAATGCTCTTTCAGTTGGTGTCTTATTTTTGTATAAATATATTTTATTGTACTTTTCAAATCTTTCTAGATTTTTTGCATTTGATAGCACATTTTTTGAGTTTCTTGATCAAATAACTGTACTAAAACCAAACCTCTAGGTAGCAAAGATGGCATTATACTGACTTTTTTTTTCAATCTTGTAATACGCTTAATTTTACTATCATTAACACCTAATATTTTAAATATTATTTGAACTTCTTTTTTGTCATTATCTTTTTTCTAGAATAATTTTATAGGTCTCTTCAAAGCCACTAATAAATATATTTTTTTCAATTTTTAATTTTTCAGCTGTCTCTTTTTGTCCTTGGCAAGGACAGCCATGTTTTGTTCAGAACCTTTTGCTTTACCGCTAACAACACTGAAATCAGATTATTTAATGCGCTGAGAGATGGAATCAGATTATTTAATGTGCTGAGAGTTGTATTTCTATGGTTTTAATTTAATTCTAATTGTTCAACTCATTTAGTAAATTTTATGATTGTATCTTTTTCTTTGTTGATTTTTATAAACTCCCAACTTCCTTTTTTACTTCATAGTTCCATTCGTCTAACAACTTAATCAAAACGTTTACGTTCAACCGATCAGGATCAACAGAAGACTGTTAACCATATTAGTCTTTAGTAGGAAGACTACCACCTTGAAAACCAGTGGGTTACCTCCTGCTAGTGAATTATTTTTATTTATAGTTATCTTTTTACTCGGAGACTTATTTCACAGGGACGAAAAAGTTTCAATATGTGTCTTTTTTCGTTATATATATATATATGTATATATAAATGAATAAATATATATATTATTCATTTAATTTATGTTTATATATATATATATATATATATATATATATTTGTATATATATATATATATTTGTATATATATATATATTTATATATATATATATGTATATATATATATATATATATATATATATATATATATATATATATATATATATATATATATATATATAAATACATACCATAAACAGTCACAAATGACTTACCACTAATAAGAATATAAAAAATCATTTATAATAATTTCTATTAAAGTCGTGACAAGTATGAATTTTAGACAAATCTTATTTTAAAAGACAAATATCTGATTTATTCGAGACATTGTGAGTTTGTTAAGTTTAAGAATGAACGTTTTTTGGTTTCTAATTTTCCCAGGATTCTGAAAAGTTTTTTAATAGATTTAGAAAATACCAGTATGAACTAACAAGTTAATTAAGTAAGAAGGTTTTTCATTACGTTTCTTAACAAGTATTACCATTGCTATTGTTTTTGTTTTTTGTTAAGAGTCTTTCAACCCTTTGTTAAGTTTTATCACTTTTAATATAAAAGAGCAATATATTTAAATAAAAGTTTTTAGAAATTTGAAAAGTTGGAAATTGTTCTTATTATTTTTTTTTACAGCCTGATGTTCTTTATAAAGTACTTAAGTGGTTCGTTTGTAATCCAATCATTGATTTAAAAGAAGAAAGGATTGGTTGTACAGCTCAATGCCCTATGTGTAGAGCAGTCTGTGTACAAAGTATTTCTTGCCTCATTAGTGACGATTATACATTTAAACATAGAACTGAACTTCACATGCCACTGGTACACTTTTCAAAGTAACTTTTATTTTTGTCATTGCTTTAAGTAGAGATATTTTACATATTCAGCAAGTGATTTGAACAGACGTTTTTTGATTTCAGCGTATATTATGAAAGCCCATAATTTTTTTTTAAATGCAGCAAGTTTGTTGATTTTTTCTTTAATATTATTGACTTATTTGAAAAAATACTTTTGGGTCTTTTTTATCTAAATTTAATTTTTTAAGAGTGATGTTTATGACTTACTTTAACAGTTTCCATTGTATAGTTTTTAGTAGGTTTATAAAACTTAAAGCTGTGATTTTTCTATTTTGTTACAGTGTGTAATGTTACTTATTGATAAAATAAAATAATAAAATAATTAGCATTTAACTAAATTAATAAACCTAATAATCTAAATTGTATGTAAAAATTTAAAATCAAACAAAGTATTTGATACACGATCATAATGATCTTATTGCTAAAACATTTTAATATATTGACAAGATATAAAGAAACTATTACATTTTTTTGTTTTTTTTTGAAATAAAGTTCGTTAAATTGTTAAAGTTTTTTAATAGATATGTTTGTTAAATTAATATCAAAATAATCTTGTTCAAGCAATAACATTTTTTTACTAAAAAATATATAAATTTGTTTGTTCTTTTTGAATCCCATAAAACTGTATTCACACACAAAGTAACTTTTACCTCATTTAACATGTTTAAACTCTACATAATAGTAAGTAACTAAATTAATGAGTGATTAAGTTTTAAACATTATAACCGAGTAATGTGACTATTTTTAGGTAATTATAATTAGTTAATGGTTTTTTAAAGTTATTAAAATCTATGGAAAAATATTTAACAACTAGGATTCTGGTAAAAAAGTTGGCATTTAGTAAATTTTGTGCTAAACAGTAAAAAATTATTAATAAACCCTAATTCAAGAGTGAGAGGCAGATAGCCTATCAAAAGTACTTTGTTTAAAAAAGTAAAAAGACATAAAATGAATTTTTATCAAAAACGTTTTTATGAGCATAGTGCAGTTATTTTTGTTAATGGCAATGACGTAAACAACAAATTAGCTAGAACATTGTTAACCCGAAAAGCTTATCTTGTAATTTTATCAGTAAACAAAGCTATTTTTATCTCAATTATGTAGAATTGCTTTTTCTCCATAACTGGTAATTATTAAATAATTTAGTAAACTTCAAATTATATAAATTAACTAAATTAAAACCATGTTTCAATGTTGTCAAATTAACAAAGCAATCACAAAGGTAACTAAAAAAATATTTTGGTAAGTGAATGGTGGAACTAATAAAAAAAAATATAAAACCATTCAAATTTGAGACTATTTTTTTTTTTCTATTTTATTTGCCGTTTCATATATTTACAATAAACACATATTACATTTATATATATATTGGCCGGAGCAAGAAGAAGACATTGACTGTCTTATCACCGAGCCCCGTTTACATATTGGCCGTGTTTATAAACAAAAAATAAAAGTTATACAAAGTGTTAAAAATACATAACTTTTGTCAATTTTTAAAATGTCTTTTATGGTGAATTGAAATAAAAAAAGTGTCGTATACACATACAAATTTAAATGATAAATGCTTAGGAATATAATAACCCAGACTATTATATATAGCTGTTATGAAGAATTAATAAAATTTGATTTGTGAAAACAATGTTGTGTTTTATATTAAAACTATAACAATAACTCCTTAACAAATAAGTTTTCATAACAATTTTAATCGTAATATAAATATCTTAGCCATGATATAAATAATCTGAAAGTAATTTAAAAAAGTACTATAAAAAGTAGATACAAATAACGTTTTATTTCAATTAAAATATATTTATAAAAATAATAAAAATGATATCATTTACTTGTTAAAGTGCTTTGTGTTTAAAAAGGACCTTTAAGCATTAAATCTTTTAAAGGACTTCGTATTTAAAAAGGATCTTTAATCTTTAAATATTGTTAAATATCTTCTTGTTTGAACTTGTTAAATGACTTTTGTGACAGATGTCCGGTTTGAAAAAGTAAATTTTTCAAACAAAAAATTTATTTCATAATTTCTCTTTAATTAGAGAGCTCATAAACTTTATTGCATATTTATTTAGAATGTTTATGCAATAAATTTTGTTATCTCTATAAGTGATAAAAAAATCAAAAAAAAACTTAATAAAATCTAAAAACATTTTCATGTTAAATAGAATATAAAATATCACCCTACCAGTTATAATTGAATCGATGTATACAAAAACGTTCTAAGTCACAAAAACTATTTTTTTGGGAAACGAGAAAAAACGCATTAAATCCAAAATTATTACTTTAATAAATTCAAAAAAAAATATGGGTGCTTTTTGACATCTTTAAATATTAGATTTGTTAAATATATATAAAAATTTGTGATACATATATGTGTTATACATAATTAAAGTTGCCTGACTAAGAACCTTTTTGTTTACATGTGTTAAAGATAAAAACAAAAAGCTTGTCTTTTATATATTTATTCATTTTTTGTACAAGAAACTATTAAAAAGCAAAAGTCAAACTATTACACATATTAAATCACACAATGTATAAAAGGACCGATCACAAAGCTTGTCAGACACCTCACTGGATATCGTGTTCCTCCACGTCATTCGCCTCGTCGGTTGTTGGCCAGCTCATGAGTTCATCATAAAAACCACTGAACTCATCCGGAACATATTGCATTACCTTCCTAACATCCTGCAGTTTCCCTTTTTTTATCGGAACATTACCCAAATGGGTAGCACACAATTTGCGGAAACTCGACGATGCGATTGACGACTTGAGACATCTTGTAAGTTTGGACCATCAGCCCATCAATAAGAGGCCTACAGACAATTACACATGGAGGAGTCCCGTAAGTGAAGTGCATTAGAAAACTTATTCCAAAACTTATCTTATCCTTAGCAGGAACTTTCTTTCCCCCGTGTTTCTTCCGAAATGCAAGATTGTAGAATGTTGGCCACCACTTTTGAAAATCTACAATATCTTCTGTTGCGACTTCTTCAACAATAAATTTACCAGTAATACTAGAAGTAACAATAAGTTCAGTTATCTGGTGAACAGTATACACCCTGTTATACCTTTTCAGTTTTCTCTTCATTACCGCGAGGTCCCGGTCACAAGGTAGGTACGAGTAACCTCTTATTGGGTAGTACTGCTCGATTCGATCAAATCGGCCAGTATCTGTGAGAGCCAAAAAGACTCTGTTTAGTGCATGGTTTTTATTTTGATCTCCACAGTTATCTGAGTAGACATGGACTTCAGTAAACTGTGGAGGAGCAGACATTAGGTAATTGTACACAAAAGAAGTTAACAGATAGCTGTCTGAGGTAAAAGGTTTCCTGGACTGGTATCATCGGTAATGGGATATTCTGCATGTAGTCAAATGGGATTGCTAAGACATGCGGTTCGTTTTGTTTGGTTTCCGGGTTGCTTTCATTTTGGAGTTTGCTGTAAAACTTTTTCGATCGACGTTTGTGCAGCATCAGTTCAGCAGCAGCATTTCTCTTTGCTGCATCACTGAGATGAGGGCTTTGTAATTTTAAATTAAGCACCTCATAGGTGCAACAGGAGTCTATCTGGGGACGGCCAAATCTTAACGTAAAGTTGTCGTTAAAGTAGCCTAGAAAATTTAGATAATTCTAGATAATTGATAGTTTTACCAGCATATTTGCTCTGTTTCACCGGATAACTTTCGATATGTTCTTTTATCAGAATTCTTCCATTGCCACTGATTGCATTCGTTCCTAATTTTTTCCCTCGAAGGTCCTTCGGTGATTTTCCTAATACCAACAGGGAGCGCAATTGTCCAATACGACTAATTTTTATACCATAAAGGCTTTTAAAGACACCCACACATACCTTTTTGTGGCATCCCCACCAAAACTTCGTATGTAAATGAAAAGTTATGAGCTACTCTTCCTTTGACACCTTCCTTTCTGGTTCGGTGAGTTTTCACTTTCATGCTCGTAATCAACGATTGTAGAAGCACATCTTGCTCGTTTTTTGTCTGTAACGATCTCATGCGTGCAAAGATGTCGTCGCTCTGGTTTTTTAGACGTTCCGTACATTTCTTCGAGCATCTAAAAGCAAAATATCTCATTAGATTATTCTGATATAAATGTTTGAGGTAGGCCTAAATGCCATAGCTAAACTCTAAAAAACGATTTTTGAGTCACTCGGCTATAACCTTTGGCTACTATTTAAGGTCAATTGACTAGCCTAAATGGAACGATATGGAACGTGTTGGATTAGTTTTGTCTAAGACACTTTTATGAAAACATGTTGCATGATATGCTATGATTGGCCTAAAAAAAATTTTAAAAGGCTAATTGGGTATCGTAATTGCAATACAAATCTCTCCTGCAATCAGTTCCAACAGTAGTAGCAGGTACAGTTCTTCTTTTGTAGTCAATGTACTCTTTACCTTTCACTCTAGCTTCTTCAGCAACATTTCTTTTCCACATAGTCTCATTTTTAACCTTTCTTACACTGCTAGTACTATGTTCTTCATCCATTATATTTAAACTATTTAATTATATAACTATATGAAAATAATGTAAAGAAAAGATCAGCATTTATAATACATTTATTAACTTGCTTTAAAAAAACGAGGTAAGATTTCAACATTTATTACTTTTATTTCGTACTAAAAGTGTCAGATAATTTAGGGAACCTACCAGAATCTATATTGAGTGCTTGAACTAGTAAATGAAACATGTCGATAACTTATTATAACTATATACCTCGTCCCTAAATTCCCCTTTTGGGTTTAGTTGACATTTTAAAATAACGTGTTTTAATTCGTATTTTTCGTTAAAAACAAAAATCTTCTAGTCACTGACCTAGAACCTTTTAGTTTACATACAATATTTCAGCTCTCTATTCAAAGTGTATGGAAAGGTCTGACTTAGAATGTTTTACTATTCAATGGTGGAACTGTCTTCAAAGAACAAATTTTCATCAAAAAGT